TCATCTAAGTGTTTGAAAGCCCTTTCGAAGTGCTTATAGCAGCCTTTGAAAAGCCTTGGCTGCAGCTGCATTATAATATGCAGTTGTTTTCAAATCATGGCTAGGCTAGTAATAGTCCCTTTACATCAGGTAGTTCTGTATTCCTTAGGGGAATGCAACGTTAAAAGACGTCTGAACTCCCGCGTTTTTTTCAGGTATTAATTTCCAAACTCCAAAGGTAAAGCCATTCAGTTTGATTTTGTCACTATGTACATTTTTCTAGATTTTAATATTGTCCGCAATTAAGTAATTAGGATAAGGTAAGAGTTGTCGATTTGGAAACTACTTCGCTACTACGGGGTGCCACCGACAATTATACATCTCATCCAACAGTTGTACGACAATGCTTTATGCCAAGTAATCCACAACAGGAAACTCACGGAATCCTTCGAAGTGAGGACAGGAGTAAGACAAGGCTGCCTACTATCGCCAATGATTTTCTTGATTGCAGTAGACTGGATAATGCGACAAACAGTGGCGGGCGATGAGGAAACAGGCATAAAATGGACACACAAAAAACTTGGAGGATCTGGACTTCGCCGATGATATATGTCTGATTTCCCACAAACTGGAAGACATGCAAGCGAAAAGCAACAAGTTGGCAGAAGAAGCATCAAAGATAGGACTTCAGGTGAACATAGATAAAACAGAGGTGATGAAAATCCCTGGGCAACACCACCAACAGCAACAACAGACAACAATCAGCATAAATGGGAGGAACCTGAAAGAAACAACCTCTTTTACCTACCTTGGAAGCATCTTTTCAACTACAGGCGGAACTGACGAGGATTTCAAAGCAAGAATCGGAAAAGCAAGACAAGCTTTCACTACTCTCAAGTCTGTGTGGAGGTCAACAGCACTCAGCATGAAAACGAAGATAAGATCCGGATTTTCAACTCCAATGTGAAGTCAGTGCTACTATACGGATCAGAGACTTGGCGCGTCATAAAGAACATCTCAAACAAACTACAGACCTTCATGAACAATTGTCTTCGCTCAATACCACTCAAGATCAGATGGCCGGCCAGAAAAGATCAGCAACATGGTTGGATCTCTGGGAGCGAACCAACCCAGCAGGAGCCGATTGTGAAACAAATAGGCAGGAAGAAATAGAGATGGATTGGCAGGCCATACTCTGAGGAAACAAACCATCAAGTGAGTGACATCACTAGACAAGCCATTGCTCGAGTGGAACCCGATCGAAAGGGAAGCGGCGAGTTGGTCGTCAGTGCGAGGGTGGGTGACTTGGAGGAGGTGATGTAAAGAGGAGATGAAAACGTGTGGGCAGACTTGGAGCCAGGTGAAGACCCTAGCAGAGAACAGAACGCAATGGAGACGCACGGCCGAAGCCCTATATTCCTGTAGGAATTAAAGGATACAATAATAATGAGTTGTCGATAGTTCGTGTATGGATACTAGGAATAACAAGGGGCGCTGATCATAGTACAGCACTAACCTGTACCTTTCGCTCTCTAACCAGTAAGTATTCCCTAAATCAAACACGTAGGCATTGTTCTAATCGATAGACACCCTGTTAGTTTTCAATGGAGGCTTAAATGAGGCATGTTATCGGATACTTTGCTCTTAGGTCTAAAATATATATTGTTAGTTTTTGTCTCTGACTTCTCTAACCAATTTTTCCCTGGGTAACAACAGTAAGTTTGTGAACAAGAGTTGTCCTCGTGGGAATCTATGCTCATGTGTTTCTCTACATTATTAGCTCATAGTTCCTTCCTTGTGATTGTTTCTAATACATTTGCTGTGATATATATATGTCGGCCTTACAGGCCAGTAGTTACATACCGATTAGCTGGTCACTGATTATTATGATATTTCAAATCTTCTTGCAACTCATATTGTACAGATTAGAGAGAATTCACTTCACTAACCGTTTTCGACATTTTTCTCCCCTTCCGTTCTCATTGGAACATAGGGCTTCAATCTAGAACTTTGAAGTTTCGGTAGCATCAGTGTTTTTTACGGGATGGAGTTGTTAGCCTCATGCCCCCAACCTTTCCTGTCTACCGGCTTTATTTCCTCTCTAGGGAAGGTAAAAGAAGTGTGTCGGCCGGTGATCCAACCTCGGAACATTTGCTTGGTTGGCCCAGCTGACTGACTGGTTTTAGTGTAGAACCTTGCACGGATGTGCAGCAGTTCAAGTTGCCACACTCCCTCCATCTATCACAGAAAGCAAGAGAAAACAGTAGACGGATACAAAAGAGATGCAGAGAGATAGTAAACAGAAGTGTGTGAGTGAGGCAAAAAGAATGGAAGTGATACTGATGAAGCCATGCTTTTGTTTGACCACCAACAACACCACCACCCCCACCATTAGCTAACTCTTTTCCAACCTCATCATCTTATGTCAGCCAATGGCTAACATCGCCCGTTGTCGAAGAAGGCGATGGCTAGGAAGGCATGCGCGACACATCTTCTAACCTTGTCAATAGATGATTGATTTCCCCTCCTCCTCCTCCTAATCCCCCTTACCTAGCACTCTACTGAATCCTAAGCTCAATACTGCTCACCCTATTACACCTGACACGGGAGGGAGGTAGAACGTAAGTACCTATGGTCAAACACAGCTAGCTAGCTAACCTTTAATCGTTTTACACTTTTAATGGCCGTGTCTCACCACCGGTCAGCTAGCCTTAAAGCAGGACGGAGCTGACTGCTGAGCAGTATACACGCCCTTTGGTCGACAGTGTCAGCTAGATATCACTCTACTCCTGTCTATCTTTAAGCTAGCAGGGAATAAATGTAGTCCAGTTGTCATGTAGCATGCATCAGGTTACATTTGACGATAGCAGGAGCCAGTCGCATGCATGCCAAACATTCGAAGATTACTGCTCACCTCAAGGTGTTGAGAAGACCGTGTCTGCAGTATGTCAGCATCTTCACCTAGAAGGAATATGTCGTCATCACCAACTGCATATTCTAAGTCAATGGGACTATTATTTTCCCTAGCGGTAACAAGTCAATTCCCTGAGTCGCTTATGAACCGCTATCCACATTTCTGTTTAATTTCATCTCATATGTAGATGCATGTACTAATGGACTTTATTAACCCTAACCTCAGCGACTTTGTGGTTGGCTAGCTAGCCTTCTACCACTGATGCCATTTTCAGCATTAGCAGCTTATACCTATAATTTTTAATCTCATATTGAATAATAGAGAGATGCATGATTGTTCTGATAGGTTTGTTTAACTTTTCGCTGCTGGATATCAGCACCAACGGATTGATTGGTGACGAAATCACAGCACGGATCCAGAAAGCTCGGGCTGCTTTCGCTAACTTACACCGTCTCTGGCGTAGGCGTGACATCCGACTGTCAACCAAGGGACGTGTATACTGCTCAGCAGTTCGCTCCGTCCTTCTTTATGGCGGTGAGACGTGGCCATTGAGAGAGGAAGACATGAAGAGATTGTGTGTTTTTGACCACAGATGTCTACGATCTCTTTCTCGCGTTAGGTGGTATAATAAGGTAAGTAATGTTGACCTTAGGCGTAGAGTGTTGGGCAAAGGGGGAAAATCACTCGAAGAGGCTATGAAGTTACATAGATTGAGATGGCTAGGTGACGTGCTGCGCATGCCTAACCATCGCCTCCCCCTCCCGACGGACATTACTTGCTGATATAGGTGCAGGTTGGAAAAGAGTAAGTGGTGGCATGCCAAACAAAAACATGGCCTCATCAATCAATCCATGAAATCCCTGACAGTTAAACTGAGTCAGGTAGGGAGGGAGATGCAGACTTCCGGGTTGGGGCCCTCGGGACTCTAAGAATCAATGACTGGAGACGCACAATAGGTGACATGGCTCAAAATTGTTGTCAATGGCTTACGCAGATGTATTCAGTCTCTTGTGTAATCTTTCATATTCCTTTCTACCATTACTCATTCGTTCTGTTTCACTCTTATACTTGTCAAAACTCTATTGATTCCCTTCACTCATCCATCTTCTTGTCTACCTTTGTGTGCTATTTGGAACGTGTCAACTCGAACTGCTGCACTTCGGTGCCAAGTTCTATGTTGAATCCAGACAGACAGACAGAGCTGGATATGGTGATTGATTAGAAAGCGTTTCTATCCTTATATATATATATATATATATATATATATATATATATATATATATATATATAATTGTTCCCTTGGGTTCCTAGTGGAACATAGGGCTTCAACTGCACGCCTCCACTTGTTTCTGTCTTCTGCTGTACTTTTCACCTGTATCCATGTTAGTCCATACTGTTTCAGCTCCTCTTCACACAATCTCCTCCATGTAACCCTTGGACGTCCCACTACCCGCCGCTTCCCTTCCGGGTTCCACTCGAGCGATGGCCTGACGCGCGATGTCACCCAGCGGCCTCTTCTCAGCGAGTGTCCAATCCATCTCCACTTTCTCCTGCATATTTGTTGGGCGATTGGTTCTTGTTTCGTTTGTTTGTTTGTTCCCATAGTTTCTTGTTGGTTCTTGTTCTTGTTCTTTCCGGCCATCTGATCTTGAGTATAGAGCGAAGACAGTTGTTGTTGATAAAGGTCTGCAACAGGCTGTTGGAAATGCTCATTCTTTGTGACCCACCGCTAAGTTTCTGATCCATCCGTATAGAAGAACTGACTGACTTGACGTTTGTATTGAAAATCGGAATTTTGTTATTGAGTGTTGCTGGGTGACGAAGATTTCCAGATTGGCTTCATGTGGATGAATGTGTTTCTCGCCTTTCCGATTCTCGATTTGACATCTTCGTCCGTTCCTCTTGTAGTTGAGACAATGCTCCCTAGCTGGATAAGTGAATGAAGTAACCTCTTTCAAATCCCTTCCGTTGATGGTGATTGGCGCTGGATGTTGCTGCTGCTGTTGTTGTTGTTGGTTGGTTGGTTATTTTCATAACCTCCGTCTTGTCTAATATATGTATATATATATATATATTCTATATTAAATTTCTCTTTCCTTTTTTATAGATTATATACTCTGTCAAGTACTTCTAAGAGTCTATTGTGAATAACTCCCACATATATATATAATATATATGGGTCGACGTCGAAGTACCAATAAACCACCACCGAAACGAAAGCCTATAGTACCACTGGATAAAGTCTTCAACTGTCCATTTTGTAATCATGGTCGGTCATGTGAAGTTGTTTTGTAAGTCGTCTTCCCTTCTTCTATCACATTATTTATTTATTTAACTTAACTTACAGACGTCGTGACAATTGTATTGGATATATCAAGTGTACTATATGCTTGGAAGACTTTCAAACAAAAATAAATTATCTAAGTCAAGAAATCGATGTTTACAATGATTGGATTGATGCCTGTGAAGAAGCAAATGCCTGACTGAGGCATATATATTGATTTCCTCTTATTATTTTTTCTATTAATAACGAATAAATTATACGTGTGTGCATTCTACACACATATCAAATTTACCACGGCAGTATTATATTGTACAAGAAGAAATCTGTGATCACCCAATCATGGTGACCGGTATGATACCTATTTAAAATGATCTCTCGCTGTAACTAACTGTCTAAAAATAATGTATATATATATTCTTGTTTGACTTATGGACATAATAAAGTGTATATTATTTATTCTTTTCGTTGATTTTTCTTAACAATTCTCAGAAAGAAAACTTCAGTAGAAGGAAGGCTGATAGTGAAAATTCGAGTACTGCGGTATCTGTTCTGAGCTGCCTGGCCTGGCGATTGCCCATAATTTATCATCTCCTCTTCCGCCTCCTCGTCCTCGAACTCCCCCACACGATCTCCTCCATGGCACCGACCACCCACTCGTCTATCGCTTCCCATTGGGATTCCACTCGAGCAAAATGGGGTCTGGCCTGCATTAGGCATGTGATGGTGTTGTCATTCGATGGTCTGTCTCATATGTTCAATCCACCCATCTCCATTTTCTTCTTCTGCATGTTTTGTTGAGCAATCGGCAGCTCTCGGTTGTTGGTTTGTTCATCGCCAGAGTTTCTATGTGTTGCTTATTCTTTCTCGCCGTCCGGCTGGCTGGCTGGCTGGCCATTATTTGATCTTGTCTGTCTGTCTGGATTCAACATAGAACTTGGCACCGAAGTGCAGCAGTTCGAGTTGACACGTTCCAAATAGCACGCAAAGGTAGACAAGAAGATGGATGAGTGAAGGGAATCAATAGAGTTTTGACAAGTATAAGAGTGAAACAGAACGAATGAGTAATGGTAGAAAGGAATATGAAAGATTACACAAGAGACTGAATACATCTGCGTAAGCCATTGACAACGATTTTGAGCCATGTCACACCTATTGTCTCCAGTCATTGATTGATTCTTAGAGTCCCGAGGGCGGGCCCCAACCCGGAAGTCTGCATCTCCCTCCCTACCTGACTCAGTTTAACTGTCTAGGATTTCATGGATTGATGAGGCCATGTTTTTGTTTGGCATGGCACCACTTACTCTTTTCCAACCTGCACCTATATCAGCAAGTAATGTCCGTCGGGAGGGGGAGGCGATGGTTAGGCATGCGCAGCACGTCACCTAGCCATCTCAATCTATGTAACTTTATAGCCTCTTCGATTGATTTTCCCTCTTTGCCCAACACTACGCTTAACCTAACGTCAACATTACTTACCTTATTATGCCACCTAACGTGAGAAAGAGGTCGTAGATATCTTTGATCAAAAGCAGTCAATCTTTTCTTGTCTTCAACTCGTATTGACCATGTTTCAGAGCCATAGAGAAGGACGGAGTGAACTGCTGAGCCAGTACACACGTCCTTTGGTCTAGATCTTTAGTATGGAGACAGTCAGCGAGGTGGCAGCAGTTGGTAAAAGTCTGCAGTGTGACGTGTTAGAAATGCTTTTCGTGACGCAGGCGCAGTGCAAGTTCCTGACCCTGATTTTGACGTCACTGACATCTTTGTGTTCAACATCCCCGAATCTTGTTGTTTGTATTTGTGCGGAGTGAAGCAGAAGATTTTGAAGCTGGTTTCAAGTTGATGGAAGGTGTATCGTGCCTTTCCGATTCTGGCTGGCCCGACTGCCTGTGGTTGAAATGATGCTGGCTGTGACTAGACTAGATAAGTGAAGGCAGGAAGTAACCCCTGTCAAATCTCTTTATCCCCCCCGGTGGTTGGTACTACCTTTTGTTGTTGTCATTGCTGATGCTGTTGGTGGTTGGTTGTCTTCAATGGCTTCCTCTCCACCATATCTATCTATATTCACCTGGATTGAGTCAGTCAGTCCTGTCTTTGCTGCCAGTCAGTCAGCCTCTTCGGCGAGTTTTCGCCTGCCTGTCTGTGTAAGTCTTCGAGGTTGTGTTTGTGTGTGACATTCAACGGTATAAATCACCCACATGCGAAATCGAGATGTTCTAGAGTCTTTTAATAAGTTATTGCAGTGTATTCCTGTCTTCTCACTCACTCCGAACGCACAGTCTGACGCATAATCCAGTCCAGTCCACTACAATTACAAATATCATTGAGCCCTTCTCACTTACTGGTAGGTGTAGGTACCTTTCCTTCCATTTTTCATCTTCTCTTTTCCATGTATCCTTCCTTCTATATAGCCTTCAACATTTATTGATATCAAGTCCCTCGATGTACTCGTAACTTTCGTCTGAGTAAGTGGAGTAGATTATTGACTATGCGGTTAGCAATCACCTCATTTTTTTATCTGTTCTGGTAGATTCATTGCTTATTCTCTACCATATATATCTTCTCATTTATTTTGCAATCTAAACAGCCCTGTAATGATCAAACGCGCTTCACGGACATTCCATTTATTTATTTTATTTTATTTTGATTTACAGCTTGATTCCACACCGTATTTTCAGTAAAAGTGTGGAATTTTCAGCATGGATATCGGTAGCCCAAATTCAGGCTGACCATAGATATCGGGTGTGCGCCGGCAGGGGATCGAACCCCGGACCATGTGCATGGTCGGCGAGAGTCCTAACCACTGTGCCACCGACGCACATGCTTACTTTTGCGTTGGTTAAGAGAAGAAGCATTGTGGATGTGCAACTAGCAGGAAGCCTTGGACCTACGTTTCGTGCTAGTTGGCTGGCACTTACTACCTACCAGTCAGTCAGCAAGGCGTATCTACAACATTCTAGGAACAACTCATGTCCGTCCGTTGTGAGATTCGAATTCACGCGTTACCCAGTGCTCTGCAGTCAGAGACGTTACCACTGGTCACATTGACTGACGGAATTCAGTCAGTAGCAAAATAAACGGACTAGACACATTGCACTAGTTACTAACTAACTAGTGTTCAATCAGAAGAAGAAACATCGACTGATTACTGATTAGCTTTTGAAACTCCATTATGGATAAGATTTTATTTTGATAAACTGTCACACAGTGTGTGTAGTGTTATACAGTAATATTAACTGATGTGAGCACACGCTTCGAGCACAATTTATTATTGCCACTCATAATCATATCAAGTTACTCACTCACTCACACAACTTTCTTGCTTCATTTATATTCATGAGTGGAATTGATGATTAGACATTTGAATAAAAATCAGTAATATAAGATAAAGTACATCCAGAAATAATAATAATAATAATATGAGTGTTATTGATCAATTACAATCAGATGGGAAATAAGACGAGTGTTTCTTTTATAGTCATAATAAGTTGCTTCTCAGAATGTTGTGATGTGCTTGAATTGAAATAGAATACAATTTAAGATTATTTATTATCCTCTTCTGATTTCACTGACTGACTGACTGGCGGTAATAATATCTTCTATGCATATCTCTGGTATTTGCATTGAGTCATTTCTGTTGCATGTGTTGGGTGTAGGTAGACACGATGAACCAGGCGGGATTCAGTAATCAAGTTCTCTCTCTATCTCCACCTACCTAGATTACTTCTTAGAATCGTAACCTTCTCCAACCACCCTATTGTGTGGTTGTGTGTTAATGCATGTAGTGCTGAGCTTTTTTTCTAAATTACGCATCTTTTCAGGGTCAACCATTCTTCTTTTAGCAGGAATCAGGGTGGCGGTGGCATTCAAACCTACAAACTCACTCAGGTAGGACAAGCTCTGTAGGTTAAAGGACCCTGTAGGTTGACCCAATTAAGCAAAATAATATAATTTACAAAATACCCTGCAATGACTGTGAAGTCAATTACATAGGTCAAACTAGTAAGTCACAGGTAAACCACGCGAGGTTTTAGTGTGTATATATATATATATAGTGCCTACCATTTCTCAACATTTTGTCCAATATCGATCGGAACTTATTTTGATATGAGAACAAGACGTATAATAGGCGAACAATATTGTTGTTTTCAATTTGATCCCCCTTCTTCAGGCTTTAGTTTGATCTACACAGTTTAACCAATGATAGTGAATTCGTCGATGAGTTGATAATAATAATCATGTGTTGAATGTTTTGAACGTCGTTAATAACGATGACTCTAATGATAACAAAATAATAATGTTTATGCACTTGGTGATAAGAATAACGAAGTTAGCAATATGTGTATATGTAGACAATTCAATAAATAAATAAATAAATTAGGTCAAATCTTAAAAGTTACGTAATACTAAGGGTGAAGTGGACAAATATTTTGTTATGGTTGTGTTCTCTGAGCCAGCTGGATAGTTAATTTGCGAACCTTTCATCGCCCTACTAGGCGACATCTTCAGCGCATACTTCAATTTGAAATGAAGTGAGCTTTTAGATTTCTCCACGAGTTTATTAATCATCTCTTCTGGTAACCTTGGACTTGATTGATTGTTGTTTTTGTGTGTTTTCACACCTTCTAGGTTATTTGTATTGTAATTCGTTGTTTCTTTGAGTTGAACTTTGACCCTTTGTGTGCGTGTGAGGTTTCTTTCTTATCGGTTGATAAATTTTGTCTATCTCGATGTGTCTTTTGATTGATGATTCACTGGAATACAAGGCAGGCTTCTAAAAATTCTCTGGCTAACATTCTTGGTGTTGTTTCCTCTGTCTAATATTTGAACGTTGTCCCAGTCGAATTGATGCCCGTGGTTGTTTGTATGTAGTGATATGAGGGAGTGGATATCATGTCTTTTGACAACTAGCTTATGTTCGTGGATACGAAGACCAAGAGCAGGGACGTCCACTTTGACCAATGTAGTGTTCTTCGCAGTTGATACAATCTATTTTGTAGATGATGTTCGTTTTGTCTTCTTTCGCTGTTCAGTCTTTTGGTTGACATAGAATTGAGTGAAGTGATTTTGTTGGTTTGTGTACGATGTCCATTCATAAAGGTTTGAAGAGTCTTGTAGTGATAACTTTGAATGGCACTTCTCCTACTGTCCGCTTGCTTGCCGCTATCATCAACCAAATCAGTGAAAGTAGAACTTCCTATAGATTTTATCTGACCTTATTTGGATTGTTTGGGTACCACCGCAGAGGTGAAAATCGATAGCTGAATGAATATGGATTCCATTAGTAATTACGTAGGTCGACTTTCGAGTAGATCACCTTGTTGAAACCTGTAGCCCAAAGCTTGTTTGAGTCAAAGAAACTCAGCTGTAACAACGTAATATACACCTAAAGTGGCAGAACTCACTGACAAAGTGTTATTTTGAAATAATAGGGAAGATTTGTAGCTCAGGTGGATGAT